TCTCTCTCTCTCTCTCTCTCTCTCTCTCTCTCTCTCTCTCTCTCTCTCTCTATGTATATTGTTATTTCACTACTTTAATCATATACTGCTTGATATCTGTTGTATGACTGCTTGATATCTGTTATATGACTGCTTCATATATTTGCCTGTGTCAATCATATAACTGCTTGATATGTCTATTTAAACAAGTTTCTTATATCATTTGATTCTACGAATTGCTGAAATATTTTTAGCAATGGCAGTGATGTCAAAGAAAATGCCCCGTGGAGAAGGGCGCGCACAACAGGATTGAGAACTTGAAGATAATTGTAGCTATCACTATGACTGGTGGTTTGTTGTTTGGGGATGGTAGAGCCAAAGGAGCCTGTAAATACAATTCTGTGTACTAAAACAAAACTGCATTTTCAACTAGTTGACACAGTAACAACTTGAGGCTTATAGACTGAATCTTGTTGCAGTCATTACATGAGAATCCGATGGTATTCTTTTCTTACTGTTAGGTTACAGGTTTAGTTGACACACTAACGACTTGGAGTTAGGCAACTAAGGTGTATTCTGTATCTGACAAATCTGTACATGAATAGACGTTCTTATATTTAAATTGAATATTATTTGAGTTTTCAATCAAGATGGTGCCTTCTTTCTTTCGCTGTGCATTTAAACTTTTGTCAGTTACTTTAGGAGCTCCTTTTTGGAGGAGGTGACCTCTGGTTTTTGATTCTGCCTAAATGTGGTTGACCTAGTCTTGACTTTTATTTAACCAAAAAAGAAAAAATTGAACCTAAATATGGATGCTGGAGGCTACAAGTCCTCTCTCTGTTCAGGTTCCAGAGGTGCTTCTGTACCAACTTGTAGCCAAGTGTAGCACTCTTCTTGAGTCTCTTGAGACTGGGCCAGTTTGCCTAATTCTAAAAAATAATGGTTGTTTGCCAGAAACTTATTAGCAAGCCTATTTGCTCCATTCAAATCAAAGTTAGAGAAGAAGACATAATCAACTTTTGAAATAGTGCAAATTGTTTAACGTCAAAAGTCCCTTCAATTCAATATGCCTAATTCATTACTCAGTCAAAAGTCCCATGGTAAGATACTGCATGCATGCATGATATGAGGCATAGTTTGGCATGCTAATTAGGCCAAAAGATAACAAATGATATATTGATTTATTTATGCAAAACATGAAACTCATATGAAGCAAAACCAGATTACTGGAAGACGAAATGGTGACTTTGCTTAATTCATTACTCAGATCAGATCAATGAACTTTTCTTTTATTTTATAATGCCCAATATATAAAAATATAAAGAAAAAGTAAGAATTTCCCTCTGAGAAGTGTGTGAGATAACAGCAACTAGTAATACATGTGAAAGTAAAGTAAAAACATGAGGTGAAAATTAAAATTTCAAAGAATTACTTCTGCAGCTGAGACAAAAAAAAATTCCATCTTATGCCATAGCAGGCATGTCCTTGAGCCAAGCATCCAACGGCTTCCCAATTGAGTAAACAATGAATCCAATCTCTCTCAGCTTCTCAACATCAACAACATTCCTTCCATCAAATAAAAATGCAGGTTTCTGCATATTGTCAAAAATCTTCTTGTAATCAAGTGTCTTGAATTCATCCCACTCAGTAAGAATGCAGATCCCATGAGCACCCTTGGTTGCCTCATAAGCATCCCAAACAACACTGACTTCCTTGACCGCAGCCGGGCTCATTGGCTGGAGATGAATTGGATGGTCCCAATCAAATTTCTTCATTGAGAGATCCCTCTTGATCTGGTCCTCTGTGACCTGCAGATCATATATGCTCAACTGTGCCTTGTCCCCCAACAGCCCCTTGCAAACATCAATGGCAGGAGTTTCCCTCGTGTCGCCGGTATCTTTCTTGAAGGCAAACCCAAGAATGGCAATCTTTTTACCAGAAACTGTATTGAACATTGAAGAAACTACCCTGTTCACAAATCGGTTCTTTTGGTAGTCATTCACCTTAATGACTTGTTTCCAGTAGTTCGCAACTTCAGTTAGGCCATTGCACTCACAGATATAGACCAAGTTGAGTATGTCCTTTTGAAAGCAAGACCCTCCAAATCCAACACTAGCA